TTCTTTGAAATGCCATCTACATTATGTCACTTGAAATGATATAAGTAAAAGTCATTCAAAATTCCTTATAACTGATGTTAACTATCAGTTACGTCGGATTACTAAAATGTCTTCGTAATGTCAGTAAAGAGGGAAAAATTTCAATCCCTTTCATTTCTGCTGTGAAGTTAAATTGAAAAAGTAACAAAAAATTTCATTCATGAATATGACCACTAAAGTTAAACCACTACAGATCACAAATAAACTAGATATCAAACTAAAAAAGAAAAGCTCAGGATTCAAAATGTATTAATTTAATTTTACGGGCGCACTTTTCTGGACCAATGAACCTGAAAATGCAGTAGATGTGGGATAAAATCATTCATTTTACCGTTTTAAAAATAACAATCAACCATTTGTACTAAGTTTCAGAATTTTTTAAAAACCCTGCCTCCAATGCATATGAGAATTTTAATTGAATCTCGAGATTTGTGGGGGTTAATCGTTGTATGACATTCATTGCTATGCATGAAAGGAGTTCAATGAAGGAATTAACCGTATCTAAAAACCGCCAGAATTATACAAAAGTGTATATGGAAGTTATATTCAACTACGTCAACTCGAGACAACAGATGTCTGTTTGCTTCGTCATTAGTCCAAAACGTATATGAACTGACAATGCATTGAATGGTCATAAAGCGTCATTTACGTATTCTGTCTTTAATTAAACGGAAAAATAAAATGTAACAATTCGGTTCAACACAAATATCGAAAAGAGTATTTTACACAGGCATGGAGTGAGTCATAAGTAAACACCGTATTATATATTAAAGGTTGATACATATATTTGACAAATAAATGATACTTTATTATATTTTATTTGACAATTCCGGCAACTCCTATAACGTCCTGATAACACATATAAATTAAAAATTTTCTCCGGAGTTTTCAATAACATAAAATCAGAAATAATGCATTATCATTTAGAAAAATTACTCGAAACGGTGAGTTCAAATTATGTGATTTATAAGTGCGCCGTCTGAAGGATATCTTTAAACTCATTGAGTTCTATTGCTCAATAATATTCATGCAACATTATTAAATCGTGGGGGTGAGCGATAGACTTACCTCCACGTGGTGCACCCTGGTCAACGTATATTCATTCGGGAAAAAAGTCTATTGACTGGCAGTTGACTTCTCACTTCAAACTATCATCACCTCACTCTATGCCATATTCGACCCCCTTTACAGTACTTACCTCACCTTTGTTCTACCTTTGTGTTTGTCTCTTACATCTTTGAAACACTCTTCTGTTCCCCCCCTCTCGAAATTTTTAAATTTGATGTTCCTTCCTCTCTGTGAAGCCTGAAGTCAACTAAAGGGCTAACGATAACCATTAAGACGCCTGCCATTTGATATAAATAAATAAATTATTAAAACGTTATAAAAGCAAAAAAACCTAAATTACTTAGATACCTAGTAAAAGTTAAATCTCCTTAACCAAGCACTTTTTATGACTCAAAATAAATTATGATTAACCATATTTAATTTAACTTCAATATATTTTTAAATTTTTTAAATTACAATTAAAGACCAACTTTAGAAATGAAATTGAATATGTTGGATTGTCTTAATACTTAAAAATATATAATAAAAAGTGCGTTTAAAAGCACATATAATTATGTATCACTCCGCTTATTGCATAGAATGGAAGAATATGTTCACAAAATGTAATTTTATTAAAAGTACAAGTGTTTGCTTTTACTACATCAATATCAATGCCCTCGTTTTTTGTGTCATTATAACTTTCCCCTATGACCTTCAAATTCTTGTTGAGAGTCCTTTTATACCATTAACATGTCTAATGAAGTTACATCAAATATAAACGAAAACGATTCCCCATCAATTTTCCCTGAACAGAATGACAGTAATGTTGCCAATTTAATGGTTAATGCTTTTTTAGGGATTCCAATACAGTATATTACTGACGACTTTCTTCGACGCCATACAAAAACTCAGGATCTTTCAGCCGTTCACCATCTTTGTTTGACGTCAAATGTTATCAGTCCTTATAAGTTGACAGTGAGCATATTTATTAACGAATATTATATTTTATCTAAAGTTGCTTGAAAATCTTGAAGGACTAAGGTATCTTACGGTTCTCAATGTCTCCGGTAATGCAATTGAACGACTTGAGGGTCTAAGAAGTCTAACTCGATTAAAGTGCTTAAATTTAAATGATAATCGAATTTGTCGATTGGATGGTCTTGAAACTCTGAAAAATTTGCAAAGACTCTACCTCAACCACAATCGGATTCAAGACTTCCCTTCATGGTTTCAAAACCGTCTTATCTCCCTTAAGTGTTTGCAGCTTGGCAACAATAATATTGAAAACGTAATTATTTAGTTAAAAATTTTTTACTTTGATAAATTTATTTAGCTCCATATTTTGACAAAGCTCCGAAGACTTTCAAACCTTACTGAACTAGTGATTAAAGGAAATCCTGCGTCTGATCCTTCAAGTCAACATTCTGGTTCAATTTTACCCTCGTCTCTCAGCAATCATACTGAACAGCATGAAGAAGTTTTCAATCAATGCTGTAGATCCTTCGTCATCTTTCACCTCCGTACTCTAACACTTCTGGATACTCAGATCGTCACTCTCGAAGAACGTAAAGAAGCTGATTCGTGGTTTGAACAAAGTAAGAGAACACTGTTTAATTGGAAATAGCCCTCAGATCACTTTCAACATTCTCATGAAGGTTTCACGAGGTTATTTTCATGTACAGACCCTGTAATCCAAACATATTTTATTCTGACATATTTGCTGACTGCAAAATTCTATGTCCAAGCAGTCACAAAGCAGACAGTTTGATTCACGATTTCATTAAAATATTTCCTTCTGCAAATCGGGGCATTAATCTAACTTGGATGAGGTGACCTTCCATGTATAAAGAATTTAGTCGGTTCACAACGCACTATCATTGACCCCTTTCTTTCCCTAGAACAACCTTCAAATCCCTATTTTGACTTACTTTTTGGTCTTTTGAAAAAAGAATTTCCAATCCCACCCTCATATTTATTCATCAGATAGTTAATTTTGAGATCGCAAACTGATATTTCTAAATCATTTCATTAAAATATAAGATGGATTGCCAACGATCATTCCAAGTCATCATGCAAGATTGTCACTCTTTTCTGTCGATTTGGCGATCGATATTTACCATCTATATTCCTTCTGATACTTGTAATTTTTCCTGAAAAGTTAAAAGCTTTTAAACGGTCATAATTTTAGCCACTATGTGCCGTTCTCATTTAAGGTTGAAAATAATAAATAAAATGAAAAGTTAATATATTAATAGTAATTCTTGACCTCCACTGCATCATCTCAAACCCTCGTGTTTGCCTTGTTCTCCAGGAATGACTGTCCAGTTAGGCTCATATTGCTTCATTTAGGCTAAAAAGCCTTTTTTAATACCTCGGCAGTAAAATCGATGCATGCTTTTTTCAGCTCAATGTTCACTTATTCAGTCGGTGCCCGTTGTGAAATTTGTCACTCATCTCAGACCTGTCTATACACCTTCAAACTGAAAAGAAATAAACCACTGTTGTGCAATTTAAACATCAATGACAAAAGTCCAACATTTGCCTACTTTCAGCTTTTTTACCTGTCAACATTGTATGAATTTACGATGCGTATAGTAAATTGCTACCTTTGGCTATTCTGTTCTATTGAACTGCTTGACGAATTGTGCAAAAGTCGAAGCGGCGAACTCAGTGGCAGTTTGTTGTGAATGTCACAATTTAACAGCCTTTTACTCTAACCTCAGTTATGTATATATATATATTTATATATATATATATATATATATATATTAACCATGATGACAAGTTAAATGAGAGAAATACACCAATATATTTACGATCTTGCTTTTACAAGTAGGAAATTGCAAATTAATAGATATGATGATAGTGGTGCGGGGTGTGTGATAGACTTACCTCCGCGTGGTGTACCCTGGGCAAAGTATACTCATATGGCAAAAAGGTCTATAAACCGGCAGTTGACTTCTGACTTCAAGCTACCATGACCCCACTGCATGTCATATTTGACTACTTTCACAGTACTCACCTTACCCTTTTTCTACCCTCGTCTTTGAAACACTCTCCTGTAACCCCCCCCCCTCTCGACTTTCTTTCACTTTTATGTTCCTTCTTCTCTGTGAAGCCTGAAGTCAACTAAAGGGTTAATGATAACCATTAAAACGTCTGCCATTTGTTATAAATAAATAAATGATAGTGGTGCAGTGCTCAAGGTGCACATTATACATCAGCGGTCAAATTGCTCTCAACTGCACAGTAGTTTAATATGGCTAAAATAGGGAGGAGGTGGGGGGGGGGGGGGGGGGGGGGGGGTTGGGTGAGGGGTTTCCTCGAAAATTGATGTTGCGATTTGAACAGAGGAAGGTGCATGAATGAAAGAATTTCATGCTTATGAAGTCTTTGTGTCAATGACCCCTTGTAAATGAAAGTTGCATGAGACATAGCACTGACTGATCGACCTCCATAAAGTTAAAGATTATCTCCGAACTGGTGGACTTTCTTCCAGTAGATGAGTTTTACAAGAGATTGGGCGCAAAATAGCATGAAGGCCCTTCAATCAGACTTTCTAACTTAGTGAATTCTTAGGATACAAAAAATCAAACAGAAATAAAGCAAGCGAGTCGAGTCGAGTTTCTGGAACAAGCTTTACCTTTCACCCACTTAGATTGATCATTTATTTCACTTTACATAGGCGAAATTTCACGAATTAACAGCCAATTGGAAACCAGGGAGGCCGAAGTCGCTGATCTCTCAGACTGTCTGGCACGATTATCGATCGAAGCAGAGGGACGAAGTGCCCGGGCTGAATGTTTGGCCAGACAAAAGGCTGCCCAGGATGCCAAACTCGAGGAAATGCGTCGCGAGCTTGTCGCTAAAGACGAATTAGTAAGTACTTCCTGCTTTTAACTTCTATGCCTCTTATTTGGCTCACTTCTGGCGGTCACATGCCTCCTTCTGTCTTACATACTTTTCGAACATCTTAACAACCCCCCCCCATCCATCCCCCCACGACTGTTGGTTCTTCATACACAACCCGCATCCCCCCTGGGTGCCTTCTTTTCACGGTAGATAAACTGTAAACATCACGTAGTTATAGAATGCAAAGTTCTCCAGGAATTGAGCATTTCCAAATCCCTCAGGTTCTCCAGGCGTTAGACACGAAGCTTTGCGCCTATTGTAGAACTCAACGGTCACTTCTCACGAGAACATGTAAAAACTCGAATTTTACGTGTATGGTCAGAGGAACAAGGTACCTTCTATTCAGGCAGACAAGTGTGACGGTCATCTCTGCTATGATGAAGCATTTTCGAGTATGCTTTTGGTTCTTTTTTCTGCCCGTCAAAAGTAAACTGCGTTTGAGATAATATGATATTTAACAAAAAAAACAAATAAATGATTCTATTCCCTTCACTTAGTCTGTTCCTTATATTATTACTAAACAATGCTTCAATTTATCCTAATTCTTTGTGGGCTTTATTTCAATTCTTGTGGATTTACTAACTTGTGCCTCTTATATTAAAAATGACCCCCAAATTCGATTATGCAGGTGATTTCCAATGCTCCATTTTTGAGAGAAAATAGTATTATAAAGATTCTCTGTTGAGAGATACGAGTTTTACCACCATCTTCACTAGTTCTAATGGCCACCAAAGCCGTGTCCTCCAACTGCAGATGGTTACTTTAACTGCTACATCACTTTCGTGCTTATTGTCCCCAGTTCAAGCTCTACAGGACTGAAAACTGAGTCATTATTAGTTGTTAAACTGACCTTAATTTAAATTGCATTTTGCTGTACTTAATTTTTACAATTCAACTTCAATAATGCAAACTAATTAACATGGAAACAATCGAGACAGATATCTTTTCTTAGCCACTTTACTTTCCCAAACATCCGTATAACAGCCCCCCTCCCCCCACCCCCCACCCCCCTCTATTCCCTTCCTTGGTAAAGAGGCTTCTAATTACTCATCTTCCAATTTCTGATTCATTAATGTTATCTGACACCTTCGCTGCGTAAATAAGAACACTTTGTCCGCAAACGTTCTAAAATCAATATTGTTGAATGGAATTTATTCATATCAAATGGCAGGCGTTTTGGTAGTTATCAGTAGCCCTGGAGCTGACATCGGGGCTTCTCAGAGAGGAGAAGGAACATCAAAGTGACAATAAGTCGAAAAGGGAGACAGAATAATGATTCACAGAGGTAAAAGAGATAGACAGACAGACACAAAGGCATAAAAAAGGTAAGATGAGTATTATGGAAGGGGTCGAATATGACAAATAGTCGGGACATAGAAGTTTGAAGTCAGAAGTCAACTGCCAATTAATAGACTTTTTGCCGTATAAGTATACTTTGCCCAGGGTACACCACGTGGAGGTAAGTCTATTGCGCACCCCTCGTTGAATGGAATAAAATGTGGGTTTTACGGTCATAGAGGACATTTTCGCCCCAAAGTTCCAAACACGTGGCGTAAAGACACAAACTCATGCCATTCGAATCCTTGATTATTAATAATTGGTGACTTTTGGTAGGCTTGAAGGACAGCAAATGGAAAGCTATTCTGAGGTCAAAATAGTAAACTTTAATTTAAGGCCAATTGAAATAAGTCGATTTTATCTTCAGAAGCGAATAGAGTATAGTGGATGCGTGTTGACTTATCGTGCTGTAGTTTTGCTTATCTAGAAGCAAAATATGGAGCTCAGTTCTATTTATTTATTTCAAATGGCAGACGTTTTGATAGTATCATTAGCTCTTTAGCTGACTTAGGACTTCACAGAGGGGAGGAGCATTAAAGAGAGAAAAAGTAGAGAGGGGGACCGAAGAGAGATTCACAGATGTAAAATAGGCAGACAGACAGACACAAAGGCAGGGAAAATGTATGGTGAGTACTGTAGAAGTGATCGACTTTGACTTACAGTGGGGTCATGGTAGTTAGAAGTCGGAAGTCAATTGCCGGTTTATAGACTTTTTTGTCGTATGAGTATACGTTGCCCAGGGTGCACCAAGTGGAGGTAAGTCTATCGCCCACCCCGGCTTTTAAATATTGTGACATACTATTACATTAGTTAAGTTGGGTTCCAGTGAAGACTTCCCAATAGTTCAAACTATGAAGCTGCATGGTCATACTAACCAAATGCGTAAGACTCTCGTGAGAGTAAAATCATTTGCTTGTAATAATGGAGTGAAAGATGAAACTGCACATCCCTGTGTGGAAACTAGGCCCTTGCTGCATCAACTAAATGCCAAATAAGTGGTTGACATTTTCTGTCAATTGACTCATTTTACATTCTAAACTTGCATCACCTCTCCGTTGAACATTCGTTTTAAACTTTTCTCATTTTAGCTTCGAGCCAAGTCGGATGAGTTGATGAGAGCTTGTCTCAAGCACTACGAGATTGAACAGGAGTTGGCTTTCTACAAAATCGATAAAAAATTGAGCGATGCTCTGGGCAAACCTCCAGACATAAACGCCGGTCTGAATGAGAACAATGCCCCAACTTCAGAGTCTATTGACCCTAAAACACTGGTACGTTTTTTGCTACAAGTTGACCATGAAATTTTATTCTAAACTTTTACATTAAAAAAAGATTTGCAAAGTTCTATAAAATCACACCTATAGAGACTTTTAGTGGCTTGAATGATTGGCTATTTCATTTCCCAGGTCTTATTGTTTATTATTCATTATCAAATCATGGTTCCTATTGCTAGAAATATGAAGTCTTATACGTGAAAAAAAGGTCTAATGGAGGCTATATTTAGTTACATTAGTATATGGTTTCATTTCGTAGTACCTTGGTATACCTTCAAGATAACTAAATGATTACTGTGAAGGATATTCATTTATTTATATCGAATGGCAAGCTTTATGATGGTAATCATTAGACCTTTAGTTGACTTCTGTCATCGCAGGGGAGGGGAGGGAGGGGGGGAACACCAAAGGCACAAAATGTCTAGGTGGGGTACAGAAGAGTGATTCACAAATGAAAGAGAAGCAGATACAAAAGTAGAGAAAAAGGTAAGGTGAGTACTGTGGATGTGGACGAATATGATATACAGTCGAGTCATGAAGATTTGTAGTCAGAAGTCAACTGCCGGCTAAAAGACCTTTTTTCCGTATGAGTGTACGTTGCCCAGGGAGCACTACGTGGAAGTATTATGGAGGATATTGATTTTCTACTCTTTTTCAGTTCAAATTTGTTCAATCACGGTTGAAACCATACATCTACATTTGTAAGATATATAGTGTAAATGAATCTCCATGGAAATAAGTCTCTTGTCCAATACCTAAGTACTCTCGATTCCAGTTATTATATAGTAGATATTAGGGGCCAGAAGACATTGAGTGAAGAGTTTTTACCGCAAAGTCATAATAAGCAATTTATGCGTGCCGAAAACAAGACCGCCAATTAAACACACATGCACACACAGACACATCAATCGCTTGTCTGACGAGGCTTATTCGAGCACATCGCACATTCCATTAGACTATTTCGCTTCAGAGATTCCTTCGGACAGCTTTGTAGTTTCCGAGGTCATAAGATAGTTCTGAGGGACTCAGAAAGCGAAGAAGATTTCACAAATTTCATTATGGGATAAAAACTGAGCTCATGTAGTATTAAATTAACCCAAGAGGGTTATTCCCAAGGTCTTGTGCATTCTTTCTAACCTTGTCATACTTTATACCCGTTTTTAAATTACATTAAAAGCCTCGAAGAGGTCATTCCTGTCTTCGTTTTATTTGCTTTTTTTGATCTACATATTGGAGAGACAGCGGTATGCACACAGTGGCTGCAATGTAGCCAAAATGGGCGGATTCAAGTTAGCAGGTTATCTGAACATCTTCCTTTTAATGAAGAAATGTAGTAATAGGTAGTAGCAATTTTCAGTTTGCCCATCTGTCCAGCAGGCACGTGTTCATAACTATTGCACCCCATGTAGGGGGAGGGGGAAAGGGGGGGGGAGGAGGGTGAGG